ACCCCCACTGCCCATATATAAAAATAAGTGCAGTTTTGATATTAAGGCTCACAACCCACGGTTTAATACTCATATAGTAGTCAGAAAGGCTATTTTCTTCCAAAACCTATACAAGATACACATATTGTACCACCTCCCTCCTAACACAAACGAAGCCTTTACTCCGCCTTAGTAAGATTTACCCTCATATACCCCTAATACCTTTACACACCTTATCCAGAACATTATTTCATATCTGCAAAAAGGTGCATTACAAAGCACTAAATTAATCATTAACACACTCTGGACAGAGTTCGTTCCCTCACTAACACTAAGTGTACAATGTAACATAACCACTCTAAATACAGTACTCTATCAGCAAGCGCGCAAAACCTGGTCCACCATGAAAACATATGATCCCGAACTCTTCATTCAGCACACATTCCCTCCCGACGCTATAGCAAGGCAGCACAGGTTATTCCAATGCTCCAGAATACTCATACTGGAGTCCCTACCTCCACCCCTATACAGTACACGTAAACACTTACCCAACACACTTGAACCAGTTATAAACACCACAGGTCATCTGCGACTGGTCGTCAGTAATTGAATGAACGCGCCCGGTAGCAGATGGTCTGAATTCCGACAACGATTAAGAACAGACGAAACTCACCGATAATAACTTGGCGTAAAGACGCGACTGAAGACCTAGCATGAAATAAGCCACTAACTCCCCATATATACCTACCTTCTGTGTCTCAACCCTGTTAAAATTTAGACGTGGCTGTCGTTCGGGTATCGGTTGTAACTCTCGGATTAGAGGTGAATCAGACTCGAAATGACCGCCTCTCCTATTTAGCCGCCAAATAGGAGCTATTTTGGGTAGATTCATGGAAAAAAATATAACGGTCAAATGACCAATGAAATCAGCGGCTGGTCAGGCCACCATTGGCTTACCCTGCTCAGTAGCTGGCATGAGTTTCTAGCGCGACAAGCCCTTGCTTTTAATTGTGACGCTGCATGTGCATTGTGCATGGGTACGAACTTATCAACACGCAAGCGTTTCAACACTCTTGCATTGCGTGTACGTCAACATGCTTGCATTGCGTTACCTTCAACACACTTGCGTCGAGTGAATGTTGTTCACGTATACGTTCGCGATGTGATACGACGGGACGAAAAGGGAGTCGACTCTAACATGTAGCGTGGTGAATAATTTAGCCTGTGATAAACAAACCCATGCATGCACCCACTGTTCAAGACGCCTATTTATAACATGACACTTCTTCATATTATACCCACTTCTTAGTCACATCACCGAATGTTAAGAATAAATTGTAACAGATACTCGATCATATTAAGAAATCTATAACTTATTCTACTACATGAATTTGATGAATAACGCAGAAGAATACCGCAAACCAATTCTCTTCCACTCAATCTATTAATTACAGTAAAGTTTTGTATATATTACCAGAGGTCGCTTAATACACCGGAAGAAGAAACACCAGAATTAATGCTGCGGAAGTTGTTTACTGATAATCGAATCAATCCGATGAGTGAACCCAGCAGGCATCTAACGTTGAAACAACGTTGACTATTGGTTGTTGGTTGATTTCAGGTTGAAATGCTGAACAACCATAATTAAACGTCATATCAACGTCGAAATCTGACTACAAAGGACGTAAAATAACCTTATTTAAACGTTAAAATAACGTCGATATTGTAACGTTGACTTTTTAATAATTTTTAAACGTTGAATCAATGTTGATTTCAGGTTGAAATGCTGAACAACTCAAATTAAACGTCCGATCAACGTCGAAATCTGGCTAAAATTAGAACGGATGTAAAAACCTTATTTCAACGTTGAAATAACGTCGATATTGGTACGTTGAAAATTTACTAATGTTTGAACGTTGAATCAATGTTGATTTCATGTTGAAATGCCGAACAACCCAAATTAAACGTCCAATCAACGTCGAAATCTGACCAAAACTAGAACGGGTGTAGAACAACCTTATTTCAACGTTGAAATAACGTCGATATTGGTACGTTGAATGTTTACTACTTTTTAAACGTTGAATCAATGTTGATTTCAGGGTGATATGCTGAAAAACCAAAATTGAACGTCCGAACATCTTCGAAATCTTACCAAAACTAGAAAAGACGTAAAACCAACTTATTTTAACGTTGAAAAATGGTCGATATCGGTGAGTTGAAAGTTTAGCTATTTACCAGCGTGGAACTAATGTTTTCACACCAACATTCAATGAAATACACATATAAGTGTACGATAAATGACCAGAGAATGAATTTCAATTTTCAAAGAGTCAAACAATTCTATAGGTTTTTTTATTGTTCATGCACGTGAGCTACCGTGGTAAAGGTAGCTAAGGCGTCGCGCGGTCTCCAGCGATCCCGGGTTTGAATCCTGCTACGGACGAAAAACAGGTTGGTTCTTCAACGTCGATTCAACCAGAGAATTTGACGTTGCAGCAATGTCGTAGTAGCAACATTGATTCAACGTTGCATTGTAACGTCAGTACGACGTTTCATGAGAGACGTTGCTTCAATTTTCATTCTAAACCTATTTTCACCCCGATCTCAAT